ACCGTGACGTATTGATATAAATGGGAAAGGCAATGGGAACGTGTTGTTTTTATATTAAAATTGGTTACACATGTGTTTCGGGAATAATCCCTTGATCACACCATATAAAAGTAGCTATATCCAAATACAATCGAGGTCGAACGGGGTCGAATGGGGACGTTCACAGACACTCACAGATTAACAATTCTATACATGACTGAAAACGTTACACTGCTTTTCGCCCGGAACCCCTACTTCCTGAAATCATTTTTCAAAATTAATTGAGCAGTGTGCTTGCTGATTTTTACTTTACCCGAATTCCCATTGAAATTACTAATCGTAGAAATCAACGCTGCTTCCACCGCCTGTCGGTTACGCTTATTTATCCGCCGTCTCGCTCCCGAGGAAAAGGCTGGCGCGTGTTCAGGGATTGTATTCGTCAGGTATGAGGCAACACAATGGTCAGTCACAAAGCCAGCCTTTGTGAGGTGACCCGCCCAGAAGATACAACACTATGCCTTGGCGAATACCTTCCGAAAATGACGGACCAAACAGGAATCCATTTTCAGCAAATGACAGATAACTCTGAAATCGCTGAACCGTATGCAGACGAGCGTACCCGCATGGGACTGCATACCATATACAGATACAGTCTTCATAAAACATGGCGTAACGTACATTTACAGCATCGCGCTATCCATTATATACAGTATACACAGGTGGCAGTCGGGGTGGGGGTGGGATGCTGGTCGCGACCGCTCGGCGCGCCGTCCAGTGAGCGAAAGAGCCTCCGGCCTCGTCCCGGCCGCCGCGGTCGCGCGCCTGACGTCACGAGGTCAATCCTCGGAGCTAGAGCGTCCGATAAATGAGTGTTCGGGTACGGTGCCTGCCCGTCCCGAAAACTAGCATTTAATCCCACGCATAGGTTTGACATCGCCGACCAGTTTGGCAAATGCCCCGCGTCATCCACATGCAGCACTATGGCGTTAGATTCTTGGTGATTCCGCAGATCTCTTTTGTGTTCCTCTACCCGTTTGGCTGCACCCCTGTATGTTTCCCCTATGTAGCTTTTCTCGCGTTTTTCGCGTTTTCTGGCGTTTGTGAGAAAAGCTACATAGGGGAAACATACAGGGGTGCAGCCAAACGGGTAGAGGAACACAAAAGAGATCTGCGGAATCACCAAGAATCTAACGCCATAGTGCAGCATGTGGATGACGCGGGGCATTTGCCAAACTGGTCGGCGATGTCAAACCTATGCGTGGGATTAAATAAGCGTAACCGACAGGCGGTGGAAGCAGCGTTTATTTCTACGATTAGTAATTTCAATGGGAATTCGGGTAAAGTAAAACTCAGCAAGCACACTGCTCAATTAATTTTGAAAAATGATTTCAGGAAGTAGGGGTTCCGGGCGAAAAGCAGTGTAACGTTTTCAGTCATGTATAGAATTGTTAATCTGTGAGTGTCTGTGAACGTCCCCATTCGACCCCGTTCGACCTCGATTTGGATATAGCTACTTTTATATGGTGTGATCAAGGGATTATTCCCGAAACACATGTGTAACCAATTTTAATATAAAAACAACACGTTCCCATTGCCTTTCCCATTTATATCAATACGTCTATGTAATAATAATAAAAGCATGGGCTGCAATGCACTGCCCGCCCAGCGGAATCCCAAATACTTAAAATGAGCGCTTACCAGTAAATAGCACATTTTTGTACTAGGAATAACTCAGCTGCTACTGGGCCGATTGCGCTGAAACTTGGACTGTGGGTGGAGGGGGCACTCACATAACGATGTATGGTCATTTGTGACAGGTAGGGTGGATCGATTGCACGTGCGCACGTGAGGGGTCCACTTATACATCTCAAGAACGGCTGGGCCGATCGCTCAAATTTTGTACACTGTTGGGAACAATTTAGAAAGGTGGCTTACACAAGTCATCTGGAGTCTCAGCGCGTGCGCACGTGCAGTGGACCAGTTTATATCTCAAGAACGGCTGGGCCGATTGCGCTCAAATTTGGTACGTTACTTTAATCGAGTATGAGAAGGGTAGCTATGTGTAGGTTATTAGTAAGGTAGGATATGGATAGGTTAGGGTAGGGTAGGGTTGAGTTCAATAAAGGCAAACCATGAGAAAGGCTCTAACAACCCGCAACCAGCACCAGCATAACATGCCGTTCAAACAAATATCCAACTCCGACAAAATAAGACAAATAAAAATCATAAGTATCCACACCCAAACTAATGCCCCATCAAACGCATCTATCAAAACGCGCAGTTATAGCGCAAAACATGCCATCTAGTATAATATAATATAATATATATTGCTTCTAGAAAGTTAAGTCAGCTGACTCATGTTCCTAAATGTTTGACTCAACTCGATATCAAAAGTTATTTTCTGACTCAACTCAACACCTTAATATTTTTGTCCGACTCAACTCTGACTCAACTCAACAGCTCAACATTTTATCCGACTCGACTCAAATCTGATTCATTTGAGTCAGAGTTGACTCAAATTTTTGACTCGACTCATGAATCAAGCACAACCCGAACCCTGCGTGTTAGCATGCTTTATTATGAATGATGTGTGTAAAAGTGAGGTTTTATGCTGCTAATATGAAGGAAATGGTTGGAATTAAAAAATCTATTTTTATTTCTGTTAGTTGGAAATTTTATTCAAAAATATTCGGTCTATAACATTAATATTCACTGAAGATACTTTCGTTTGAATAAATTGCAGATATTTGGCAACTGAAGTGTTAAGTAAGCCTAAATGATTGGTATAAAGGTAAGAGACACCCTGATGATCATTTGAGAAACGAAAATATATGAATTTCCCTAAGGCTCGGCTCGCTCAATATGCTACTCCGCAGTTAATGCCCCGAGGGTGCCCGAGGGTTCCCGTTAGTTTGTCGGTAGCCGACGTCATCGCCTGTGACGTTGGCTCGCCAAATGCGTCATGCACTGCACACAAAATAGCCGGCTGCCGAACAGCGCTTTGGTTTTTTGTTTGTTTGCTTTGACAATCAGCAAACATACACGCACAAAATGTATGAGGACAGCGTTATTGAGTTCTCCAGCTTGAAATGTCAAAGAATATTACCCAATCAGAAGCAAGCATTCTGAAGAGCTTTACGACGATTCGCGCTCCATCTGCCCGTGTCGTCTCAACATGCTGCTTGCGGACAATCTCGAACACAATTTTAAAAAAGACCAAGCTATTAGGCGAATCTGTTCCCGTTAACTTGAAATCTAGGCTTTTTCTTGCTGACGTCATACACCTCTGGTCATATTTGGTAAAGACCTTGGCGATATGGTAAAGACCATCGAAATTGCTCTCTAGCGCTGTCAATTTATATTTTTGAGACGAATGGCTCCGGATTATGTGGTTTTAGCGTATAACGAGCAAAACTGCTATCTCAACTCCATTCCCCATGTTAGACAATCATGAACATGTCACTTTAAAAGTTTGAGTGCACCTAACAACCTTTAAAAATGAAGTCCTCCCTTTCAATGGTTTGCGCGAAGACACAAAGCCAGAATCAACCAAGTAATTGATTAGATCAGAGACAAGTCTGAGTCAACCAAGCAATACCAGAATCCACTGCGCACTGCGCAGCGTGTCTGATGTGCCCCCAATTTTCAATCCACATAACATAACCCACCCACCGCACCGCTTTACCTGTGCACGGCGTCAAAGCACCCCTCTGCACGGTGCAAACAGAAACACATACATACAGAGTTTCATTTCACAAATAGTATAGTAGATGCACCTTTTTCCAGGGCGTGCCACGTGCGACCCATCCACCCCCGGGACTCGAAACACGACCCTGCACGTGCGCGTGACGTCATCAACACCCTGCGAAAATTTCAGCCCCCTCGACCGCACCGTTTGACCTGTGCACGGCGTCAAAGCACCCCTCTGCACGGTGCAAACACACAGACACAGGGTGTGCTCGCATATTACTTTTGATGGTCATGTATGTATGTATATGTGAATAGGTGGATTGGATTCGGAACAGCTTGGGATATGATCGATTAAGTTCAGATTTCTGATTTTAAGAAGACCACCTTGTACATCACGTGTGAGAATTCAAAAAATGTAGCTTGGCGGCAGTTATAAAACTTCGTTGTCAATTGTTTCATGTGGCTGGAGAATGAACTGTTGTTCGAAAATTTGCCAAACAATATAATATTTACTTTTTATTGAATTTCCAATTAATTATCGAGGAAAAGGTCATTTAAAATCCTAACTGCATACTATTTCTTAACATAACCCACACTTAATGCAGGTACGGTCACCTACACATTAGGCATTTGAAGGACTTGATAGCTGATACACATGGAAGAAACACAATGCGCTAAAATGAAATTTGATTGACTAGTTGCAGCAGAAATTTGGCGTCCTATGCTTCTTCGCCAAGTTAAGACCATGTCAATCTCGGCCAGTCTGCCGCTGCGCCGGCGCCCGGCACTGGCCGTGGTGTGACTGTGATGTCATCCGGCCGGCTTGGCGCTGGGTACTTCCACACTTAGGTAACTCGCGACCCGGCCGGCGGTGACTCCCTGCTGACGTCATCGGCGCACCTGCGCAGAACGGATGCGCAGTGGGATGACGCTACCTGGGTTTGTATTGCTTTGAAGGTGGGATGGCCACTTGAACAAAAATTCGGCCGATGACGTCACTTGTTCGTGAACACATTTATTATTGAGCAGTTTGTTTATGCTAGTTTCCTGGGAAAAGCAAGCAAACAGAGAACCCTGGTTAAAAAATCATTTTTTGCAATTAGCATATTAGGTATCCGTCTTGCTACCAAAATAATCGTCGACGTCACAGCAAGCTGAACGGGTGGACAGACTATCCAAGGGGATCGCTGCTGACAGTAGACACCTCCCTGACTCATCACTACCCCCGCAAACTCGGCCTTCTAAGGAAAGCACAGATAGTGTACGTCACTCTAACGGATTTCCACATTGCAGCATCGTTCAGTGTTCACTGATCCATGTCCCAGCTCTCATCATCCCCACACACGACTCCAGAACGATTGGCTTGGTGCGGTCGGCGAGGGGGGTAGGTCACGCCACAGCCGCTCCAGTGACTCCAGGCCGCGTGCCAGAGAACAGGGCGCAGCAGTTAGTGACATCCGCTCCAGTGACTCCAGGTCGCCTGCCAGAGAACAGGGCGCAGCAGTTAGTGACAGCCGCTCCAGTGACTCCAGGCCGCCTGCCAGAGAACAGGGCGCAGCAGTTAGTGACAGCCGCTCCAGTGACTCCAGGCCGCGTGCCAGAGAACAGGGCGCAGCAGTTAGTGACATCCGCTCCAGTGACTCCAGGTCGCCTGCCAGAGAACAGGGCGCAGCAGTTAGTGACAGCCGCTCCAGTGACTCCAGGCCGCCTGCCAGAGAACAGGGCGCAGCAGTTAGTGACAGCCGCTCCAGTGACTCCAGGCCGCGTGCCAGAGAACAGGGCGCAGCAGTTAGTGACATCCGCTCCAGTGACTCCAGGTCGCCTGCCAGAGAACAGGGCGCAGCAGTTAGTGACAGCCGCTCCAGTGACTCCAGGCCGCGTGCCAGAGAACAGGGCGCAGCAGTTAGTGACATCCGCTCCAGTGACTCCAGGTCGCCTGCCAGAGAACAGGGCGCAGCAGTTAGTGACAGCCGCTCCAGTGACTCCAGGTCGCCTGCCAGAGAACAGGGCGCAGCAGTTAGTGACAGCCGCTCCAGTGACTCCAGGCCGCCTGCCAGAGAACAGGGCGCAGCAGTTAGTGACAGCCGCTCCAGTGACTCCAGGCCGCCTGCCAGAGAACAGGGCGCAGCAGTTAGTGACAGCCGCTCCAGTGACTCCAGGCCGCCTGCCAGAGAACAGGGCGCAGCAGTTAGTTAACCCTCGCCCGTATTGGTGTTTTGCAGCCGCGAATGTACAGTCTTACACCGATTAGCTCTAGAGCAGATGGCGAGGGTGATTTCCCGGCTACATTCCATCTCGGCGTAGTGATGCTTGCGGGCTTGGGAGGCGTCCAGTCGTAAGTAGGATAGTATACGGTTGAGTTCAATAAGGCCCTTACATTTGAAACGTTTGAACAACCCGCAATCAGCGCAACATACCACAAGTTAAATAAAACTACCAAACTCCGCCCAACTAATATTAATAAACATACAAGTCTTTACAGCCAAACTAATGGCCTAAATAGTAAATAAAAATATGTCTCAAATCATAACAGTTATCGCGGGTGATGGCGCCACGATTTGCTATTATCCAAAACGGATGCAAAAAAAACATGTTTGTATGTTATATGTACCTATGTGTGTTTGTTTTAAAAACGTTGCGGCAGCGCTGGGGACTGCAGTCTTAAATCTGGGTATGTTTGGCATCTGCAACTCTTGATATACTAATTAAACCCTATTTTGGACGGGGGAGGATTAAAAGGCCCCCACCCTCAGGATTTTCTTGTGCAATTGTCAAACGCCGCGAGACATTCAGCTCATATTTGGTGACTTCTCCTAAATGCTCATTGCGCACATCTCGGCAAAAAAATGCCGGATCAGGTCAGGTCAGGTAACCAGAGCGGGTTTGTTGACCCCACCTCAGAAAAGTTTGCAAGCACGTCAGAGCTTGAGTTTTTTACGGAGCTATTTCCTCTCATCAGGTCTTCAAAAGATTATCACTCACTCAGCATGCGCGGCGCCACCGTGGGGTACGTGGGGTACTAGTACCCCACAGTCATTTGACTGTGGGGTACTGCATATACCCAGTACCCCACAGTCAGGAGCCCAGGCTGAACTTTTTCAAGACTTTTTAGTAGTCGTGCAATGGCCCTCTAAACTCGTTAAATAGGTTCTAGCAGTGATCAAATGACTATTACCGACAGAGGGCCAATGCTGAAAAAATTGACAGGCGGCTGTTACAGGCCCCTACTGATCGGTATGGCGCTTTTAAGGCCTGTGCTGTCGTGTATTCAGAGGGCCTTTATGTAGCTTAGAGGGGCCCCCGTCAAGCGATTAGGGACCTTTATAAGGTGCTCAGAGGGCCCCATCAAGGAATCAGGGACCTCTTCATGAGTTAAGAGGACCCTCTCATGTACTCAGGGCTTTTCTGTAACTCATAGGGCTCTCGTCAAGCGTACAGAGGCCCTTTAAGCGCTGGAGGCCCTTCTGTCGCTCAGAGAGGCCTGTCAGACGTTGAGGGGGCCCTTTAAATGCTTAGAGAGTTTTCTTGTAGCTCAGAGGGCCCCGTCACGCGCGATTAGGGGCCTCTTCATGCGCTTGGAGGGCCCTGCCGTGTACTCATAGGGCCTTTATGTACAGCCCACCGCTAAAGTAATGTGTGGTTTTACCAATCTCAACGGATGGCTTTGACCGACGATTTTTAAATGCGGACTGATTGAAAAGAAGACGTCAATAGATAAAGTTGTAGCTGCAAGGGTGAAGATGCATGTTAGCTACATTTAAAGTCTCGTTGCAGTCTGGCTAATCGTTCCTAGACTTCAGAAGCAGAGCATACCCATGACTGAAACCACACATTACTTCTGCTGTGGACTGTACTATTGAGCGCAGAATCCGCGCTCATACCGGGACCGAGGCGGGGCCACGGCGGGGCAGGCCTGGTGTGTCAGAGAGTGTACCGATTAGTGTGATGCGGCACAGTATCCTTTGAGGGTCACGGAATGACATGACCTGGCTGTTTCTGTTCCGAGTGGGGCGGAAAGCCGGGGAAGGAGAGCCATTTAGTATGCGGCCGCAGCCCGCGTGGAGTGTGTGCGGCTAGACGTGAGCGCGATGGCACACCTCAGTGATGTTGACAAGGGCAGGCTCATCTTGCTTTTCGATCAAGGTCACTCTGTCAAGCAGGCGGCAGAGATTCTCGGTGTAGCTCTAACTACTGCCAGACGGTGGAAACACCGTTATGAGCAGGAAGGGGAAAGGGGTTTGAAAGCGCGCTATGATAAGTGTGGAAGAAAACGGAAGACGACGGAGGAGGAAGACAGGCGCATGGTGGAGGTTCGTACTTTTCTTTTATCATTTGTTGCTGTTGTCCCTGTATTTCTAGGTCAAGACGAGCGTGTAGTATCAGATGACTAATCGGGCCAGCATAATGATAATATCGGGCCATAATGACTAATCGGGCCAGCATATAATGATAATATGTTTATTAAACAGCATATCTTATTGATTAAACGTGTCAAACTATTTAATGAGGTTAGTGCTTGTGCGAGGAACATGTTTATAAATAGTAGGAAATGTAAAAATATGACCTTTTTTCCTCGACAACTACCAAAACTAATCGGCCTAACGTGACATTGAGAAAATAATATATAAGCCACTTTGGGGAGGGTAAGGTCACCGATTTTTCAGGGTTGATATGAAATTGATATACAAATATATACTTAACTTGACAGAAAGTAATATTTATTTCGACCACAGGTCCTTTTCAAACATTTTCAAATTAGACAAGTGTCAAACTATTTACTTCAAGAATAAGATAGGATTGATAAAAATAGCGAGTATTTTTTTTCGGATCTCGCTTAATGTCGCCAGAGCGGGACCGCACCGTTTACCCACTGACCCACTCATGTTTTTCTTAAATAATTGAAGTGAATTTGAATTTGAAGTGAAGTGAATTTCTCAGGACATTTTGCAAGAGTGAACCGATATCAATTTCATATCAACCCTGAAAAATCGGTGACCTTACCCTCCCCAAAGTGGCTTATATATTATTTTTTCAATGTCACGTTAGGCCGATTTTGCGTTTTGTTGAGCCTGCAACTTGCAAAGTTCGTTGTTTAAGGGCCTAGGTAAACGCGCTTCCCATATGGGTATTGAGTTACGTGCCTATAATCTCCAAAACTACTGGATCGATTCTCAAAATTCAAGCACCAATCGAAAGTTCAGGAAACGTGCTCTTCCGATTTAAATTTCATTGGCATCCAATGAGCCAATGACACCACAGGTCAGGTCAAGGTCAAAAATGCTCTACTCATTTGACTGCGTGACCACGGGAGCAGAAACTGATACTGGGAACAATCGATGACCATGAATCGGTGTGAAAGATGTTTCGAACACCTTAGAACACCGTCCTGAACTTTTGTGGTCAAAATCATCCGTCAAAATCGGCAAAAGTCATAGGATGGCATCCGAGGTCAAAAGGTCAAATTGGTCATTTCGAGTATTGGGAGTTGCAATGCATGTGTTTAGGTCAGATTTTTGCAAAGAGCTCGAAATTTGACCATATAACACTTTTTACCTTACTAAAATTGGTCATAAAACTGAAATTTGAAATTATTCGGAAACAAAATCTTGAGAAAAAATGTTGATTTTCTATCAAAATAAATCCGGAATATTCAGAATTTGAAAAACCCGAGATAGAAGTGTTGAAGTCCAACCAATTTATCTTTTCGGTATTAATTTGTTCCTAACTTTAAAACTGGGCCCTTGAGAGCGTTTAACGCAAACCCTTATTTTCGGTTAAAATCGGCCGGAAATGGCGTCACTGTGACGTCATTTGCTGCTGACTTATCAAATCTAGCGCATTTTCCTTTTCGCACAGAGCGTAAAATTAATAGGAGCGAAAGTATGTAAAGTTTGGTGTCGATGTCTTTATCCGTTTGGTAGGTGTTGCAGAAAAACCGGAGAGAAGGGCTCTGCATAGCCCCTGCATCTGCATGGCCGAGTTGTGGTATGGTTTAGCTGGGTGACCGGTGACCTGATGACATTATTTAAAAAAAAAAATCTTGAGGTGCTGTTTATTTATTTATCTGTTTATTCATTTTCACCCCAATAGCAATGCATCCCAATTAGAGGAGGCGAGGCCTACGGCTACGTGCGGGAGGCCGCCTTGCCCCTGGTCGCCTCGTCCCCGCCTGTTATTAACTTATTGAGATAACTTAAACAATTATTTAAAAAGTTCTTAAGATGCCTTACAAAATTGCTCAGTAATGATCAAACACTTTCCAACAGGTGTTATTCGTTGTACCATACAGCTTCATAGTCATGACCGATGTGTCACCTATATCACGTTACAGTGAGTAAAAAACATGGTTTTGTTCGCAGGTTCGTGCCATCCCCTGGCCCTCAATGAGCCGAGACCTGAACCCTATCGAAAATGTGTGATCTCTAATGGTTCATGAGCTGGAGGACGAGCTGCGCCAGCCGGCCCGGCAGCTCAACCAGGACGAGCTCTGGGCCGCCGTCTCGGCGAAATGGGAGGAGCTCCGTCGCCGCCCCGGCTACTTCCGGAGCCTGGTGGCCTCGATGAGACAGCGGCTGGAGCAGTGCTCCGAGGCAGCGGGCGGTCACACCTCCTACTAAACCGTTCTGTTTTTTGTCATCTTATGTTTAAGAACAGTGTTTTGTTTATAAATTTTACTTATGTTACCTACATGTGATTAGTGTGCAATGTGTATATACAAATGTGACTCAGTGACAAGAGGCTGATGCCTGATTTTTTTTCTTTCGTAATGTGATATTCAGGGGGGCTTGAAACGTCTCAACTATTAGTGCGAGCTAGGAGTGCTATGATCAGCAGCACTTGTATATAGCATCGCTGGATTATGTGCAGTGAAAATGGACTTGATTACTCAACCTTTTATCCGACAAACCCTAGGACTTCACTTGAAGAAATATATGT